GCAAACTTTAAAGGAATACGATGTCATTTGTGACAAAGTGCCTCTTTGGTGTGACAACGAAAGTGCCATCAAGATTTCTCTCAACCCGGTGCAACACTTCAAGACGAAGCACATTGAGATTCGGTATCACTTCATCCGGGATCACATTAGGCGAGGAGAGATCGAGCTCAAGTATGTCAACACTCATGATAACCTTGTAGATATTTTCACAAAGCCCTTGGATGAAGCAAGATTTCGCGAGTTAAGGCATGAGCTAAATATCATTGATTCGAGCAATGTGACTTGAACCCTTGCACACCCCACCTCACTCAACTTGGTATCTAGTTTAGATGTAGGCATGGACATAGGGGGAGTGTTGTTCTCTCAATGAACTTTCCCTCCCCCCATTATGCATAAAACAATCAACTCTTTCACAATAGCCATTTTTGATGGTACGTGTGCTTCAAAGACGAGTTTTGGTCATGGGCCCAAGGATAATTCTTCGCGGTGCCATACCATTTGACTCAAACATAGGTGGCTCCGGCCACCGCCTCTCCTGAGAGAGGCCAGAGCTTGCTCTGTTTCGTGTGGTTGTTTGTGTTTGAGTTGTTTCTGGTCTGTTGTGTGTGTGTGTGTGTGTTGCCGCGTCGGTCCTCTCGTCCTTTTGACTTTGCTTTCCGTTTCTTTTTGAGCGTTAGCCGTTGGTCTAGAAGCAGCGTGGTTGCTGAAGCGGTACTACCGCTGGTGGCGAGCGGTCAGCGGTACTACCGCCCTCCAGAGCGGTACTACCGCTCCCAGCGGTACTACCGCCCTCCAGAGCGGTACTACCGCCCTCCAGAGCGGTACTACCGCTCCCAGCGGTACTACCGCCCTCCAGAGCGGTACTACCGCTGTGAGGCGCGGGCTGGGGGTTATATCGGGGGTAGGGGGAGTTTCTTCTCCCCCATACCCATTCGCTCACCCCTTCGCCCTGTTCGTCTCTCTCTTCAGCAACCGGTGCCGCGGGAGGGCTCCGGCGGATCTCCCTCTCTGGGGCGCTCCTCTCCGCTTCCTTCGGTGGAATCGATCCCCACCTTGTCCTCTTGCCATGGATGCTGGTATTGCCCCCGTTCCCTGGTTCCTTTTGTCTAGATTTCCAATCTAGCGTTCTTGAGGCAATAGCAGTTGCATCTCTAGAGTTTTGTCCAGATCTAGGCTTGAGTAGGATGGAGAATGCTTCTAGACTGTTTAGATTAGTGTTTGGTTGGAGTATTTTTGAATTTGGTAGGACGGTAGTACCGGATCTGACCACGGTAGTTGGAAACTGCTGTTTCCCCGCCTCGAGCGGTACTACCGCTCTCCAAGAGCGGTACTACCGCCTCGAGCGGTACTACCGCTCTCTCCAGAGCGATACTACCGCTTGGAGCGGTACTACCGCTCAAGGGTCACGGTACTACCGCCCTCTACCCAGTTCCATCATCCTCCTACCTCTCAGTGATCTTTTTGTTCGTGTTTGTGGCTTACGCTCGTTCTTTCTGGTTGTTTGTGTGTTTGTGTGTGTGGTTCCAGGTGATGATGTTCCTGAGCATCAGGCTCGTCGTGTCAACCCCGGTCGTGCCTCGTCCAAGCGCTACCGCACCACTGAGCCTGCCAGAGGATCTTCTAGTGCTCCACCTCCTCCCCAACTGCAGAAGAAGCCTGGGGTCAAGCCAAAGTCAAGCAAAACCGTGCCAGAAATGCCGCCCAAGGAGTTCTGGGCAAGGCGCCGTCGCAACCCGTATGAGGTCGACCAAGATCCCACTTTGGTCAACCGTCCGTTCTGGAACAAGTTCCAGTTTGCCATCTATTTTGATGTTCTCAAAGCCAAGAAGAATCTATATGTCAACGTGCACTCCATCGACACCGAGCATATGGAGAATGATCCTGACTACTTTGGTGAAGCTCTTCAGATGTGCACTCAGATGAACATTCTCGGGATCATGCAATTGAACAAGGACTATGATGCTGATATTGTGGCCCAATTCTATGCCACGGTTCACCTTGGGACCGATGAGGACAGGACTCTGACTTGGATGACAAATGGCAAGTTGCTGTCACTCAAGTGGAAAGCTTTCATGCAGTTGATTGGGGTGGAAGATCTTGGACTTGAGTCTTCTGTCAGCTTTCGCCCCCACCGTCGCGCCAATGCCACTCACAAGCAAGCTCTGTGGCCCTACTGCACTCTGAGGATCAACCATGAGACAAAGAAGGAGACCTATGAGCTGCCTGCCTATCTGGACTTCTTCACCGTATCTTCAGAGAGACTCTTTTCCCTCGCATCGGGAATCTGGACCAGGTTTACTCTTATCTCGTGGACATGCTTCTCTTCTGTCAGCGGGAGAAGGGGCATATCACCGGAGAGTCCTTGGATATCTCTCATGTTATGTGGTCTGAGCTGGTTTCTGCTATCTCCGAGCGCAAGTGCCCGATTTATGGTCCATTCATTATGCTGCTCATTGAGAAGGCCTGGGATCATGTCTATCCCAAGGTGGTGCTAGAGATTGGAGAGTTGGTTTCTCACGATGTCAAGCGTCTGAGGAAGAAGGATAACTGGGGCACTCAGGCCCCTAGGACTGGAGTTCCTTCATCTGCTGCTGCCATGGAGACTGAGGAGGAGTTTGGGGCTGAGGCTGAGGATGAAGATGATGACTACGTGCCTTCTGAGGCAGAGCCCTCTTGGGCCAAGAAGCTCAAGATCAAGGTGAAGAAGCTGTTTTGCATGGAGTCTCACGGTCAGTACATGACTCATGTAGCTGAGAAGAAGGCCCGAGGTCGCCACAAGGAGCTCATGCGTCAGATGGGTGCTGTTGTGATTAGTGGTTCTGAGGATCAGCTTACCGAGGAGGAGGAGTGGATTCAGCAGCACTGCCCCTGGACTGATTCTGATGCTGAGCACTTCCCGGCTGACGATGGTAACGCAGATGATCCCTCTGAGATCTGATGGGTGTCCATCGTTTGCCTTCACCTGGAGCCGTAGCAACACTCCCTCTCCTTTTTGGTGTTTCGATGCCAAAGGGGGAGAGAGTTTAGGGATTTGCGTTTTGTGTCCTCCGTCGTTTGTGTTTGTGCTTTCGCTTGTTGCTTTATTTGGTTTGTGTCAGTGAGACCTAAGTTCTGGCTCTGTCAGTAAGACCTAAGCTCGAGTCATATGGTGTGAGACATATGCTACCTTATCTTTCCGTATCATTATCTATGTCTATCTACCTTATGAGTTCCATGCTTACCCTGTCATATATATGTTGCTCTCATATCTTGCTTAGGTAGTTGGTCTCTAAAATGTAGGGGGAGCATTGATCCTGGCATCTGCGCCGTGCAGTCCAAAGCACTTTTCTAGGTAGCACACATCCAGGGGGAGCCCTTCTACATTTTAGGACGTTTGTGCTTTTGCGCTTATCCTTTATCTATCATATTGTGCAAATCCCGTATTGTCATCAATCCACCAAAAAGGGGGAGATTGTAAGGGCATATTTATTCCCAATATGTTTTGGTGATTGATGACAATGCTTGTGCGAACTAATCGTGTGCATTTAGTTCTTTCAGAGTTTCATCCATTGGCACGAGACGATTTCCTCCCCTCGGTGTTGTAATTCAAGACGGTGTAGCTCCTTCGTTCCGTTGTTGGTGGACTAGTTTCGTAGGAGTCACCGTACTATCAAGAGGGGATCCATTTTGGTAAGACTTGGGTGGAATCACACGTACACATCATTATCACACCCATCGTCTTTCCTTCCGCATCTCTGGAGCTGCCGTTTTCCCCTTACTATGCTCTGCTCTGCCCTAGCGGTAGTACCGCGTCCACAGCAGTAGTACCGCTGAAACTCCACAGCGGTAGTACCGCTCTCAGAGCGGTAGTACCATTTGGGTGTTTCGGCCGTAGTACCGCTGTGCGTCTGGGCTACTTCCGCCTCGATTCTCGAACAAATTTTTCGTGTTGGGTTTTGCGGCACTAAGGGAGGTAGTAGGGGCGGTAGTACCGCTCTAAGCGGTAGTACCGCCCTTCCCTAGCGGTAGTACCGCCCTGGTGCCAGGGCCCTGGGCAGCGCGGCAGTACCGCTGGGTCGAAGCGGTAGTACCGCCCGGAGCGGTAGTACTGCTCTTCCCTGGCGGTAGTACCGCCCTGGGGTCAGGGCCCCAGGCAGCGCGGCAGTACCGCTGGGTCGAGCGGTAGTACCGCCCGGAGCGGTAGTACCGCCCTTCCCTAGCGGTAGTACCGCTCTGTGCGGGGCTGGTGAGTGGGATAACGGTTGGATTGTTCTTCCCACTATATAAAGGGGTCTTATACCCCAAAGTTGACCTACCTCTTTCCCCCAAAGCTCCATTATTGCTCCAAGCTCCATTTTCGCCCGATCTCTCTCCCTAGCCAATCAAACTTGTTGATTTGCTCGGGATTGGTTGAGAAGGCCCAGATCTACACTTCCACCAAGAGAAATTTGATTCCCCCCACTTATCTCTAGCGGATCTTGTTACTCTTGGGTGTTGAGCACCCTAGACGGTTGAGGTCACCTCGAAGCCATACTCCATTGTGGTGAAGCTTCGTGGTGTTGTTGGGAGCCTCCAAGTGTTGTGGAGATTGCCCCAATCTTGTTTGTAAAGGTCCGATTGCTGCCTTCAAGGGCTCCAATAGTGGAATCACGGCATCTCGCATTGTGTGAGGGCGTGAGGAGAATACGGTGGCCCTAGTGGCTTCTTGGGGAGCATTGTGCCTCCACACCGCTCTAACGGAGATGTACTTCCCCTTAAAAGGAAGGAACTTCGGTAACACATACTCGTCTCCACCGGCTCCACTCTTGGTTATCTTAACCCTTTACTTTTGCAAGCTTACTTGAGTTATATCCATTGCTTGCTTGTGTGCTTATTGTCTTTGCATCATATAGGTTGTCCACGTAGTTGCACATCTAGACAACCTATTTCATTGCAAGTTTTAATTTGTTAAAGAAGAGTCTAAAAATTGTTAGTTGCCTATTCACCCCCCCTCTAGTCAACCATATCGATCCTTTCAGCATGACTTGTACAATGCCAGGCCTCGCGCTAGCGAGAGGGTGTGAGCACATGAGCCCTAGGGTGAGCACCAACCCCGCCCGGTCGATGTCGAACTCGCGGTGGAGCCTCGCGTCCATCGTCTCCATGAGCGTACCATCACGCCAATGCTTCAGCACCCAGTCGACGAGCGCTATCTGTCCGCCTTGCGCATTCTCCTTGATGGGTTTATGTCCGCATGCAACCTCAAGAAGAAATATGCCAAAGCCGAACATGTTGGTCAGAGGGGACGCCCTTCCCGTGCGTATCAGCTCCGGAGCCAAGTAACCCATGGTGCCGACTACGTGCGTGGTTTGTGAGTCTGCCCCATGGTCGTACAACCTTGCTAGCCCAAAGTCACCAAGCTGGGCATTCATGTCTTTGTCGAGGAGCACGTTGCTGGCCTTGATGTCTCTGTGGATGACGACTTTCTCCCACCTCTCATGCAGATAAAGCAAGCCGGACGCGACATCCTTGATGGTATGAAACCTCAAAGTCCAATTCAGAGTAGGCTGATCCTCCCTACTGCTATATACTCCCTCCGTCCCATAATATAAGAATGTTTTTGACATTAGTGTAGTGTCAAAAACGCTCTTATATTATGGGACAAAGGGAGTAGATGTTTATCCAGGCTTCCGTTGGGCATGTAGGCGTACACCAAAAGAAGTTCACCTTCTCGACGGTAGTAACCGAGCAACTCTACAAGATTACGATGTCAAATGCGGCCGATGCTTGTAATCTTAGCTATGAACTCCCTCATCCCCTGTCTTGACTCGTGAGACACCCTCTTCACCGCAACCTCCAGTTTAGATGTCTCAAGCATGCCTC